TCTTTTTTTTTCCATGGGATTAGTTTTTAATGTTTTACTAGAAGATATGCCTTACGATTAATTTAGTTTTATTACCTATTTGTCTCAGGATAAAATGAATCGTGCAAGAGGTTCGGGAGGTAGAGGCCGAGGAAGGGGGTCGGATGCCAATTTCATACCGGAAGCGGCTATACAACCGGGAAGCTTTAATGTTCGATTGAAGACAGCCGACGAGAGGGCGAGGTGGAAAACGCTATCCAACTTGCGAATGGTGGCAACACGATATATGGATGATGAGGCACTTGCCGCTCTTGGCCTTTACGATGATGTGTGGAAGCTCATTCGACGAGCGGGATGGAAGTACTTCATGACTCAAAAATGGCCAACCTACATCGGTCTTACTTTGGAGTTTCTTAGCACATTGGAGGTCGAGACGACGGGGTATGACCACATGGTGAAAACGTTGAAGTTTTGTCTTAAAAATCGAGACTACACACTCGATGTACAAACTTTGGAAAAGGAGGTGTATCGAGCCCCGGAAGATCCCACTATTCCTTCATCCTTTAGTGCTCATGATGCTTGGAGCTTAATTGCCGGGACACCATCTAATCCCACTCCAAGGTTCATTCCGAGGTCGGCAAAGCCAACATCAATTCGCATTTCGGTGTTGCGTTATTTACAAAAGGCGGTTGCTAGCACGATCTTTGGCCCGACTCTGAAATAGCCGCCTCCCATAAATGTGTTGCCACCCATTTCCCGATGAGCCCAGGCTTACTCCGAAGCCCATATCGCCGTGAGCTCACGAAGAGAGCATCCACCCATTTCTCCTCGAGCAAAGATCGTGCTAGCAACCGTCTTTTGTAAATAACGCAATACCGGATTGCGAATTGATGTTGCCTTTGCCGACCTCGGAATGAACCAGCTTGGAGTGAGATTAAATGGTGTCCCGACAATTAAGCTCCAAGCATCATGAGCAGTAAAAGATAAAGGAATAGTGGGACCGATACACCTCATTTGCCAAAGTTTGTACATCGAGTGTGTAGTCTCGATTTTTAAGATGAAACTTCAACGTTTTCACCATGTGGTCATACCCCGTCTTCTGGACCTCCAATGTTCTAAGAAACTCCAAAGTAAGACCGGCGTAGGTTGGCCAATTTTGAGTCATCAAGTACTCCCACCCGGCTCGTCGAATGAGCTTTCACACATCATTGCAAAGGCCGAAGAGCGACAAGTGCCTCATCATCCATATATCGTGTTGCCACCAATCGCATGTTGGATAGCGTTTTCCAGCTCGCCTCTTGTCGGCCGTCTTCAATCGAACATTAAAGCTTCCCGGTTGTATAGCCGCTTCCGGTGTGAAATTGGCATCCGACCCCCTTCCTCGACATCTACCTCCCGAACCTCTTGCACGATCCATTTTATCGTGAGATAAAGAGGTAATAAAATTAATCATAAGGCATACCTCTAATAAAACATTAAAAACTAATATAGAAAAAAGTTCTTTCAATCATTATCTAAACAACTCAATTATCCATCAAAGTATCATGTCGCAGAAACTACAATTCAAGCACATATCCACGAGAAATCCAATTTCAAACGTGCCCACCACGTGTTCGATAGATTGCTCAAACAAAATTCTTCAGCTAAACTCAACAAAACCAACAAACAAGAACACCATAACATCAAGAACAGTAATTCCACATCAAGAAATAATAAGTACAAACACATATCAAATTCGTGGAGACAATGCAATATCCCGAGTCTACTCCCTAGGTGAGTTCAAATCCTACTTTAAGTTCCAAAAGAGATAAAGGATTGAACAACTATGAACTTATGATTGTAAGTGAATGATTATGAGGCGAATTCAAATAATAGAAGGCCTTAGACTTGTAAAGTATGCAAAAGGATTGGTGTTCTAGGGTTTTTGAAAGAAACGGAGCAAAAATTTTCTAAGGAAAAGAGAAAGGATGGTGTTTTAAAAGTTGTCTGGTGGTACGTGACACGGACCGTGACACTGTCACCATGCTCATGTCAGCTCCCGTGTTACCCCCTTGTGCATTCACTTTTTCTTTACTCGACACGGGCCGTGACACGGTCACCATGCCCGTGTCTACGCCCGTGTCGCACCTCTGGACAGTTGATCACTCTGTTACTCGACACGGTCCTCAACACGACCAAAATGAACGTATTATGTGGTCGTGTCGCATCCCTGGAACCAAGATTTTTTTTTATTTTTGGTGACATAATCTTTCATATTCCCCCATAGGCCTTGGTCCCATCTTAGGGACTTATCGCTCTTGGCCATCTAAAATTATTCTCTCTATTGGACTTTCCTTTAGCTTTATCAAGTTTAAGAGATCCTACACCCTGCACCTCTCCTCCTCTCTCTCCAATGACTTCACTGCGCTTCGCTTCGTTGTATGGTTTTTTTTTTACACAGTGTTCTCACTTTGCCAACTTTCTTTTCAAAGAGAGATCTATGATCCCCCATAAAGGAAAAATCATAAAATATATCATGTCTATGAGCCCTCCGATCCATTGATGTGATGCTCGGATGAACGTGTGAAGCCTCCTCCATTACATCGATCCAAAGAACGAAGCAAAGCAAAGTGAAGTCAAATTAGGGTTAGCCGGTAAGAGCCTAACGCAAATGGCTCAAGCAATTGCCAACTTCATGTTCCCGAGTTGCAGAGAACAATCCGAACTGAGGCAATTTAACACCAACGGTAGATAGGAACCGAACAGAAGAAGCTTTTTACAGAACGTCGTTTGTTTCCTCTTTTTCTGTAAGCGAAATTGCGCCCTAGTTAATTAGGCGCAAGCATCTCGTCGATTATTAGTTGACGAGCATCTCGTCGATTATTAGTTGACGATTTGTAGTTAGATGCTCACGAAACGAAACGCAGTGAAGTCATAGAGAACCTCAACATCTAAATAAAGAAAGGGCAGAAGTACTCAAAAAGAGTCCTAGAAAAGGAGTAAGAAGAATAGGACTTCCTCTACGACTGGCTTTCACTTAAATATTTTCACGCGAGGGCTTTCCGACGAGTCTATCGCCAGCTCCTTAAGCTCCTTAGGCGTTTACCTGGTGGAATCTTTCGAACTTGACGACTTTATTCTACTTGGCTTGAAATAATCTAGTACTTGATTGATTATTTGGTCTCTTGGAATATGACCTTGCTTGCCACATACTACGAGCGAAACCGTACACTTGCGGTCGAGCTTTAAAAATATAGGCGAACAGAGGCCAACCATTTGATAATGCAAGATCTCACGAAGTTTAACAAATGCAACAGCACATTACAAGTATGCTTTCAACAAAGTTGGACTAGGGTAAGTCTGTCTTCATTCATGGTATGGTGTTGCAGTTTGATTCTTCTTTTTCAAGGCAATTACTAAACTTTTACCATGGCAATATCGGTAGCCCCTCTGAAAAGTTACCTAACAGTGATCGATCCACATTCGTCTAATTATGGTCGAATTTAACACAACAAAAGGACTAGAAATGAATAAATTACCTAATGGTGATCGTCATGGCCTTCCCAAGGATGCCTCCAGCCCTAGAAACACGAATAAAATCAATTCACAGAAACATTCAAGAGTAGCTACTTCAATGTACAATATAATATATCAATGTTAAACATAATTAATTTGACACAAACACTCATTCTAGGTAAAAGATCATAACTTACCAGCACCACGGGACCGTCCTGCTTTGCTCTGTAGAAAACCCAAAACCTGGAAAGTATAAAACATGTTTAAGAGCATGAAAACCAAGCTTATGGCCCAATAAAGCTATGCTAACATGAAAACCTTGAACTCAATTAAGAGATGCACTAAGGCAATCGATAAAAAGATAATATTTCTTCCAAAATAAAAATTCATCATAACAATATGAAAGTAAGCAATACATGGAGCAACAAGGGCACTGATTAGTAACATCTGGCATTATCTGAATTCTGCATCTTTTTTATTGAATACGGGCTGTTAGATGCAGAATCAACTCAGAAGGGTTGACTTTGTTATACAGTATTAGAAACTCAATGTTGAGACTAACTGTACTGAAATTGGTAGAGAAGTCAGTAAATTGTTACGCAGTATAAGAAATTCAATGTTGAGACTAACTGTACTGAAATTGGTAGAGATGTAACACCCAACACAAATAAATCATATGTTCTCCTCGAAAAATTACTAGGCTCATTTTTGTAAAATGAATTCATCAAAAAATAATGCAGAATATATATATATATATATATATATATATATAATGCCTTCGAAAACACTCTTCCCCTGATTTGAACGAGATTATACCACTGCTGAAATTGATATCTGTAATTAGACCCAAATGTCCTGCTAAATATAGACTCCTATCCTCCCCAATGATCAAGCATGACACAGATTAACAAATTCTTAATATGAGTTCATTAGCTAGAAAAAGCATTGCTCTGAAAAAACATTTAAAAAGAAAATTCATACACAAAAATTAGAGATAGAATCAGCTCCACTTCACGTTGTGCACAAATCTAATATATAATGCTTTCAGAAACACTATCTTCCTGTAACAGGAAGAGATAACACCACAGCTGAAATTGATATTTGTAATCAGACCTAAGAATTCTGGCCAGCAGGCACCCAATCACCCCAAATATCAAGCATGACGCAAATTAACAAAAGTCATTATATGAAATCATTAGCTAGCAAAATCACATCTTGGGAAAACATTAAAAAAGGAGAAAAAAAAACACAGAAGTAAGAACTAGAATCAGTTGAATAGAGTTATAATCAATTCCAGTTCAGGATGCTCACAGATCTATATTCACACAATAATCAATCACACAGCTTTCAGCAACAAATCATACAATAAAATCCGACGAAATCCAACGAAAAACAACGAGCCAAAATCAGTTTCACTCCACGATACACAGAGATCAAAACTTCCAAGAGAAATTAATCAAAAAATCCAGCCAACCATTTCACGATGACTATCCAGAGTTAGCAGTAGCTATATGTATTTTATACGTGACCACTCCTTACCACATGACTGCGCAGAGGCCTTTGCCGGTAACAGTGTGCCAGCGCTTTGGTCTGTGCAGCGTTACGCCTCTGTACGTCACGCCATCGCCGTGGCCACCTCCCATTCTCCTCTTATGCTGTGTTCTACGATTTCAGAGTTTCTTTCCTCAATTTGGACTGATGAAAACGCAATGCGAATTTGGGGGAGAAAATGAAACGGAGATAGAGATTACAGTTTTATTTAGACCCCTTGGAAATGAGATTATATCAAATTGCTCCCCTCAGCTATTGGTTATTCTTTTATCTCTAGTTTTTGGTTAAAAACACTCTGCCCTCTCAGCCTCGGCCTATTGATATTCAGCATTTTACAAGAACTGAATGGCTTTAGCTGTGCACAGCACAGCCGGCCCAATTTAATTGTTTGTATTAATCCTGTTATTTTATCAATATGGGCATTTGATATTTCGGTAAAATAACTTGCACATTAGAGAATATCATGCATTCACAACATCGTTTTTTTGTTTCCAATCTATTATTGTCAAAACATGTTACAAGTTTGTCATCACAGATTACAAAATATCAGTAAAATAATAGAAAAGTTGTAAGACACACCAGAGATAATATATTTTGCACATATTTTGAAACATCTATGTAAGGATAGATGTTTAAAATGCTGTTTTAAACTAACAAAATGCAAAAGACTCAAGTCTATGTACGGTAGCCTAGGCTATTTAAAAGTTGTAAATTTAAGATGCAAAAGCTACTTTATTGCAGGACGATTTCTTCGGACTTGCGACAGTTTCTACAGAAGTTTTTGTGTGTTTTTATTAGGGCTTGGTGTAATTTCTGTTCATCTAGTAGCAGTTGGTGGTGCGAATGTTGACTTCAAAGTTCCGGACTTTTTGGACTGAAGATCCTGAAGTTCGCTGGATCCTTTTCGCTTTCGTTAGCAATCGACTCCAAAATATCTTGTCGTGGAGCTAAAGAATTGTTTATCCTCATCTTGTCAAATTGCATAAATATGTATGTTTGTTGGCCTATAGGCAGAAAACTATCAAGCTTACCTGTAGGCAGAAGACTAAAAGCCAGAGAATTAATGAATATGGTACATGCAGATAACTATGTTTAT